TGAGGGGGCAGGAAGTGGGAGGGAGTGGAAGGGGCAGGGGCGGGGCTAGGGCGGGGCTCCTCCCGTCCTCTTTTTTGATTGTTGAAATATGGTAACCCTAAAATAGCTGGATGTGCCGCCCCTCTCCGAAGAGGCCACCCCAAGCACCTGCTTGGTAAGCTGGTGCCGGCCCTGCCCCTGGGCTGCCCTCTGCAACCCCCAGTACTCCTTGGCCTTCTTTCCAGGCTGGAGCTCCCCAGCTCCTCAGCCTTTCCCCAGCCCTGCTCCACTCAGGTACCCTGTCTCTAGCTCCCTGCAGCCAGGCCCATCTCCCTCTACAGCTAGAGAGAGACTGGGTCTGCCCCTGGCTTCCCTGCCTTTATAGGGCCAGCTGAGGCCTGATTAGGGTGTGGCCCAGCTGCGGCTGCTTCCCCAATCAGCCTAGTAGCTTTTCCCCTGCCCCAGCTCTCTCCCAGGGCTGTCTTTAAACCCCTCTGGGCAGGAGCGGGTAACCACCCTGCTACACAGCAAAAAAACCCAATGCCGATTCCATGACACCAAAACCTTACACAAATGTGTGTTGATTTTGCCAAACAGATTTGGATGGGGTGGAGGAGGGAAGAAACCCTCAAAAAAGTGACATCTTTCAATTTTCACTTTGAAACTTTTCATTTCAAACTGTTCATTAATTGTATTAAAAGAAATCAGAACTAGTAACGAATGGTTGAAATCGACATGAAACATTTCAGTTTTGTCAAAGTGAAACATTTTGTCGTCCCCCCCCCCCTTTTTTTTTTTTTGCCATTTGAAGAAATTTTCATTTTTGCTTCAACCTGAAACTTTTTTCACCCCAGCTCTAGTGAGTAGTCCTGTCACCCTGGAGAACAAGGCCACTGGTCGAGCATTGTGGCAAAAGCTGGCATCACCACTGCCCATGTTGTGCCTGCTGTGTGGCTAAATAGAGGTCACCAGGCCCCAGCGATGGCCACCCAGTGCCGTTCTCCATAGTAAAGCCACATTTTTCTTTTGTTAGTCCTGCTACTCCAGGGCTGGAATTGTCAAAGGAGTCGTAGACACCCACGTCCCACTGCATTTCAGTGCGTTGGGTGCATAGTGTCTGTGGAAAGCTCAGCCCAGGCCCTTCAAGAGCATGTGACCATCACAGCTGCCATTTTCAGTGCCTCCCTAGCAACTCCAGTTCTGCCTGCAGTCACCTTCCTATGCTGGGGCACGTGGGCTCACATTTGCTGTTGGTATTGAGGCCTCGTGTGTTTCTGCACTGGGGCAGGGGGAAGTGGCCCTATCTCCTTCTCCAGGCTGAACAGAGAAATGGATTCATGGCACAGGGCACAAAAGTGCTTGTGTCAATGCAAAGTGCGGTGCACCACAGGTCGGTATGGCCAGCTGGAGCACATTTAGTGTGTGGAGCCAGTGTAGGCGGTTGCACACAACAAGGGAGAGCTGCTAGGTGTGCTCACCAAGCTGGGCAATCAGGAAAAAATATTTTAAAAATACCTGGGTTTTTTTTAAGGGGTGGGAGAGGATGGGCATAGTTTGGGGGGACAGGATGCATTGCCCCCCCTAAAAAAAGAGGTGAGGCTGGGCAGGCACACAGGTTCATGTGCTACTTCCCCCCAATTTCTGTGAATGCCAAGCTGTCCGGGGCTTTCTCTACTCGTCCTACCGGGGATGGGAAAGAGGACTCTCATTCCCACGCTGCTCCTCCCACCAGCCAGTTTCCGGCTTTCTTGGCCCCTCTCCCAGCAAACAGGGGAGCAGAAGGGGTGGCATGGAGCTGCTTCTCCTGCAAGGTGCTTACTGCCTCTGCAGCTGGATGCTGCCTCCTGTAAACTAGTTCTAGTCATCGTCCCCTTCTATGTATGCTGGGTGCCCTGTTTTCTGTACAATGATGAGTACCTGCAGTGGGGCAGGGGGAAGAGGCAGTGGGGAAGGAAGGGGGATGGGATAGGACGGGCGATGAGAAGGGGATAGGGGAATGTGGGAGGGGGCAGGGGACAAGGTGGAGAGGAAAGAGGATGGGGTGGGCAGAGGAAAGGGGAGAGGATGGAGCAGTGGGGAAGGGAAGGAGGAGGGGATGGGGCCAGGGAGGGGGTGGGAAAGAGAAGGGGATAGGGGAATGACAGGGGGAAGCCCAGCATGCACTATCCCCCCAGCAGCAGCTGGGGCTCCCCCATTAAGCTGGCCCATCCCCCAGCACTAGCAGACCAGCGAACACTCCAGGTGGGGGAGAGACCCAGTGAGCCAGGGGAACCGGCTTCAGCATGCATGTATGTGTGCCACCCCCGTCCCCAAATAGACCAGTCAACCTACGCCTATGTGGGGGAGGCTTCCAGGCACCGTGACCCACCAGCGCAGTCACGGTGGGGCATTGTGGGACAGCTGATGGAGGACTGTGATGGCCACACAGCTCACAATGGCTACACTTGCAATGCAGTGACTGGCTCAATGCCATTTGGGCAGGTGGGCAGGCTGCACCAGAGATAAATTTGGACATAGACACGTGCAAATAGGTTGACACAAGGCGACTTACTTCAGCCTAGTTAGTTTGGTAGCGTAGAGGAAGCCTGAGGTCTTCTGTCTACTCCTTGGTTTCTCTCAGAAATCAGATCCATCTCCTCCTGTATCTCTCTTCACCATCCCTCCCCCACCCACCCATATTTCCATGTTCCCTCTCCCCATAGGTCAAACCATTTCATTTGTAAAGCTACCCCCATGCCAAAGAGCAGGTCAGATAGTGATCCCAGGGCAGAATACAATCTTCTTGGTCTCTGACATCTGGAGCTTTGCCAACATTCTGTCACCGCAGCTGCCTCCTTTTGATCCTCCCCTTTCTCCCCCATCCGAAAAAAAGAACCTGATATTTTCCTTTGTTCATGAAGTAAAAATCCTGAGAATGTGAAAAAAACAACAACCCTTCTTCTACAGTGCTGGACAAAGGGGAAACCTTTACAGCGAGGATCCTGTCACCATGGCAGAGAAGCAGCTGCCATTGATGTAAGCATCATAGCAGAAGAAAATTCACATGTGCTCCAGAAAGGGAGCTCTCATTCCTATCCCTCCTGAGATATGATGACCCCGGAGGAAAGGCATCTCTCCCAAGAGTGGGGACACCCGCAAAAATGCCCAGCGAAGGCTGGTAATTTTTTGGTGCTGTAAATGTCCTCCTTTGATTTGATCCAAGGTTTCCTGGGGCGCTCCAGGATCTGACAGCAATCCAGAACTCTTAGGGACAGACTTTCAAAAGAGCTCAGCACCCAGCAGAATCTGTTGCAACAGTGGCAGCAGGGCTGGGTGGGAAATGGTTTTCTCGTCCTGTGAAAAATTTTACCATACTGAACAAATTTCCCATCCCAAATCCCAAAGTGAAAAATTTTAGCACACTGAAAATCTGAAAAAAAAAAATTATTTCAGGTCAATCAAAATGTTTCATTTAGATTTCGACCATTGGGGAGGTGGGTGGGTGGGGGTGTAAACTTTTTTTAGTTGTAATTAGCTTAATTTTCAAAACACAAAGTCATTTCAAAGCGGCAAACTGGAGTTTTTCATTGGGAAAATGAGAGTGCAGAATGTTTGAAAATGTTCTTCTAACCGTTTTTGCGAGTCAAAACTTTGTCAAAAAATGACCCTTTCCCATGCACCATTTTGGTTTTGACAAATCCATATTTTTCAGTGAAAAAACTGTGTCAAAAAATTCCCACCCTGTTCTAAACTGGCAGCTCAGCTACCATTTAGGCATCAAAACCAGTGGCTAGACTTTTGGAAGAGCTCAGCCAACTGAGTGCAAGTTGGGTACTAAGCTATTTTGAAATCCTGACCCCTATTAACTAGTACCCTTTACTTCGTACATGCTCATACAGCTTATCCCAGTGAGCACTGCTGTAGACATGCACAGATAGATAGAGCTAGTTTCCTTTACAATACCCAAAGCCACTTGCTGCTGGTTCTCAAACAAATTTGAACCTTAACCCAGGTGTGTTGAAGGAGGTCATTAAGGTTCATGGACCTGTCAAGCACATCCGGGGGATGAGTTTCAGGTCGAGTGTACAGCAAACCTATTATAGTTTGGTGTCACAAACCTTGTGGAAGTGGCAGTTTCACATTTCTTTGATCTCAAACCAGGCAAAATTGGGCAGTTGTGACTGACTTTTCCTTTGAATTTTGGGATGGGTTCAAACCCTAGAATCCTCAGGTGTAAACACTTCTGAACTCTGGGGAAAATCAGCTGCAGTTCTTAGCTTTGCAGCTGGTCACTAATGGCTAGATTTTCTAAAGTCCTAGGCATTCAGCAGCTCCCACTGGTTTCAAATAGGAGGCGGCAGGGCAGGAGGGGGAAATTCTCCATTGTTCTCAATAGGAACTGCTGGGTACTTTTGAAAATCTATCTTCCTCCTCAGCCATTGAAGTCAATGGGAGTTTTGCTGTTGATTTCAATGGGCGTGGTTCTGATCATTCCACTCCCATTACGCCTTGCGTACACACACCAACATGAATGTGAGTACTGGAAGAGGGAAGTAGTTCCCAACTTGCGTAAGGGTATCCAAATCTGGCCCAATAGGAGCAGGAGCAAGCCCCAGCTCAGCAATTGGACACCCAATCCAAATGCACACACCAATACTCTAGGAAAGTTTGGATCCTTTCCATCCATTGCAAGATCCAGGTCCCTAGCAAACCAATCAAAAGCCAGAGGCATACAAAACACGCTTGTCTCCGATGTGAATGCATTTCCAGGTTTTCCAGGAGGCTCTTTAGAGGAAGGAGTGAGTCAATTTCACATGTGATATATTTCACCCTCTAGACTTTCTTTGGGTCACTTCAGATCTTCCAGTTATTCACTGGTTCTTGCGAGCTTGTCAGAAATAGTAGGGGTCTATATCCAGCATAAAGCCAGCAGAGTAGTTGATAAGCAAATGATGTGCTGCAGTAACCGCCAGCCCGAAAGGGAGGTTTGATATAGTGCTCAGGTGTATGGGCATGTGATTGCCTCTTGCTGTGTGGATCAGGCATGTATGAATATGAGACATGCTCAGTTCATACCAGCAGCGCTGGGAGATCATGTCATAACTCGTCTCTGTAAAAGCCCATAGAGAAGGAGTCTGGAGACCACGTCAAAAAAAATCAGTTAAACTGAACAGTAGCACCTCTTGCTATGCCACTGCCCATTGACAGCTCTGCTAATGCATCTCAATTCAGCACTCCCACCCCACCCCGCTCCAGTCCTGGTTTCCCCTGAGCAGAGTTTGTCAACTGTGCAACCTGTGGGGTGGTTTCAGGTATTGTATAAATGAGATCACCAGACTCAGTGTTACCAGTTCATTCCCCTGTCTCCAGCAGTGCAGGGTATGCCAACCTGCCCCATCTGTTGGCCTTTCCTGTGGGAACCCCTGACTCTGAGCACAGAAAGACACTGTTTCCCACCTTTGCTTTCTTCTTGTTTTTCAGGTTTCCTGTGGAATCACAGGGGTTAGCAGTTCAAAACCTCAGCATGACCCAGTGCTCAGCTGAGAACTCTGCCCCAACCGCAGTCTAGCCACAGGCAGTTCATGCAATCAAAGGGCACTGCGGGCAAACCTTAGTTCAGCGGATGGCTTCCAGCTGCACTCTGGTGATGACTTGGCTGTTACTTTGGGAACTCCAGGGCACTTAGGAAAAGCAGGCTAGGAAACATCATTATAGATAAGAGATGGGGTCAGGAAGAGATGAACTTTGATCGTGGAGGATTTTGATTACTCAGATTCAGACAGTGATAACAGAAGGGCACAGATTCCCATGAAGGGACCTTGCCTCTGGAGGGAACTCCTGTGTTCTTTTTTTTCTATACACTCTGCTGAACAGCTCCAGTCCTCCCATACCAGAGGCTATATCTCTGCAGCTGCAATGCAGCCAATTAAGCACAAGCAGAGTTGCTGGTTTGGGAGCTCCAGTGCTCCCTTTCACCCACCAGGAGTACTCCGATTCTGAGAAGTAGCCTTGAAACCTACCAGGAGTGGTTCCTGATTTGAACAGAATGCTCCTTCTCCTGTACCTTCAACCCTAGGGTTACCATATTTTAATTTTAAAAACGGAGGACACTCCGGCCCCGCCCCAACCCTGCCCCTTCCCCGCCCCCAGCCCTGCCCCAACTCCACCCCTTCCTCGCCCCCGCCCCTTCCCCAAAGTCCCCGCCCCAACTCTGCCCCCTCCCCTGAACGCTCCGCCCCCTGCTCCTCCCCCTCCCCTGCTTCCCACGAATCAAATGTTCGTGGGAAGCCTGAAACAGGGAGGCAGCAGGTAAGCTGGGGCTGGGGCGGGGCGGGGCACGGCACGGCCCAGTCCGGTCACCCCGGCTGAGCGGCTCCCTCCGGCAGCCGGCTGGCCCAGGCCAAGAGGCTCTGGCCCCGGCATGTCCCGCCCGGCTCGGCTCGGGCCCTGGGGCACCAGCCCTGGTTCTGGCCCGCCCGGCCCCGGTTCCGGCCCACCCTGGCCCCGGCCCCTGGCCAAGCACCGCTGGCCCCGGCCGCCGGCCGAGCACCGCCGGCCCGGACCCAAGCCCCACGACCCCTCCCTCCCTATTTTCCTGGACATGTCTGGCTTTTTGGGATTTCCTCCCGGACGGGGATTTGAGGCCCAAAAAGCCAGACATGTCCGGGAAAATCTGGACGTATGGTAACCCTATAAAACCCAGTTTCTTTGTAAGCTGTCTGGCCAGATGTCGCACCATTGCATAGTCTCTTACTACCAGCTTGTCATGTCTTAGCCAATCATCCCAGTTCATACTACATTCTGCATCTATCTCTGTCTATGTATCTAAGCAGTCATCACCAAGGGACCTAAGCACCATATAAGTCAGAGCCATAACACACTCTTTATAAAATAAACAGTAAGATGTAGTCTCTCCACTGCGATCTTGAGTGAGAATATTTAGTATTCATCTGCCTAGAGCCACAGGCCATTTTCAAGAGACGAGGCTAAGGATCTTGCACCATCTCCTAAATGTAGCATCTCAACTCCCCACCATTCACATGACCATAATGAGGACAACATGACAGAGCAGAACCTAAATCACGAGTTTCATTCATTCTGAGATGCTCACACAGGCAGGGGTAAGGACACAACAAGAGGATTTTTGGCTCATCTCCTTAAAGGTATTTAGAAACCTAACTCCTATTGAGTTCAAGGGAAGTTAGGAGCCTAAACTTTGAGGATCTGGCCCTTTCTGATTCCAGGCAACTGACTATGAGTGACTTGCTTAGTTCCCTTGCCTGCCTTGGACTGAAAGAGACTCCCTTAATATTTCTTGCAGCTCTCTCTCCTTGAATCACTCTGCAAGTCGCTATTCAATCTGGAAATGGAGCAGAAAGAGAAAGACTAGAAGGAAAAAAATAAGGCAGCAGAAGACTATAAACAAGACTATAAAAACCACAAGCGAAGAGTCTAAAGCTACATTTCATAGCCTCCTAAAAAGGTTTCCTTCTAAAACAGCATAAATACTAAAGAAGCTGAAAATTTTTGACCCAAAAATCTTCCCAGTGCAATAGTGTTTTGGTTTGTTTGGTCAAACATCTAAATCTTTTGTAGGAAAATGATGATTTTGACATTGTTTTCTGATCTTTTGCCAGGCAAATTCAAAACAAAACATTTCATTTTGAATCAATAGTTGGCTATTTCACAGTGTGAAAAATATCAAAAAATGTTGGCATTTGTAAACCAAATCTTTGGCTTTGATCAAAAATGGTCACATTTTTCATTTTGACATTTCCAAATAGAATTTTTAATTCCTTGAAAATGGTGGATATTTCAACTTTTTGTCCCATTTTTGAGACAAAAATAAATGTTGAAATCTCAGCATTTCCTGGCACATAGAAATTCTATTTTCTGAACTGCTCTACTGACTAGAGTCTTCACCAAGACCGAGTAGAGCTGGGTAGGTTTTTTTCAACTAAACATTTTTTTGGTAGGAGAATGTTGACTTGTCAAAACTGAAACTTTGTAGAAAGGGTTGGTTTTTGACAAATTTCTTAATTACAAATTTTTCTTTACAAAGTTTCAAAATCGTCAAAACATCCTGTTTTGACATTTTCAAAATGAAAACATTCAATTTTTTGGTTCAAAACGACTTTTCATTTTGAAATTTAAATTAATTTAATGTAAAGAAATGTAAAAAAAAGAGTGAGCTTAAAAATTTTCAAAATTCTCAAAAGGAAATGTTTTGCTCCAGCTGATCCAAAATTTTTTGGTATTTTTGGTTCACGAAAATTTTTGAGATTTTGACATCCCAATTTGGGACAAGAAAAAAACTCTTGAAAATTCTTGTGATGGGAAAAACCATTTCTTTTTTTTCAAGCTCTAATGCAGAGAGTAAATCAGTGTAGCTTCTCTGAAGGCAATAGCAGTAGATTTGAGTTTTGCTTTAAGTTTAGATTCTTTTGTATGCGCTCTGGCAAAGGGAAAACACAAAGCAAATTGTTTTGGTTCGTTGCAGGTGGCATAGGCAAGGTTTTCAAGAGCTCCTCAGGATTTGGCTGACTTTGAAGCCCTACCATCTGTCACCGACTTTATTATCAGATCCAAGAGAAACCCAGCCTCTGAATGACTGTCCCTCTGCAGAGACAAGGCAAGGTTCCCATTGAGTGTCAATGAAAAGTTTATATTGAACACAGCCAGGTTTCTATCCATGGTCAAAGTTGACGAGCGCCTCATGGTTCTGGGCTTCATGGAAGATTCACCCAGCATTGTTCATAACATCACTGGGAAAATGAAAATATAAAGGGGAATGAATAATAAAAGCCGTTTACTACCAGATCATTCATCTCATCTGTCGATCTGTCAGTGAGGCCCCTCAAATTGGGATCTCAGCACCATATCCCAGAGAATCAGTGGCAGAGCTAGAAGAACGATCCAGGAATCTGTGCATGGAGATCTATTCTCCACGCTGGCCTTTCACTGAAGTCAAACACTGTCACCAGCTGGGGAGGAGGGAGGCGTGCTGTGCTTTGAATGCTCTTGTTCTTCTGAGGAACACTACAGTACAACTCCTGATAAAAATCAGCTTTGCTGGCTGATACCTTGATATATTCAACCAAGGGGCCAGTATCAAGCCCTGTCGTTTAGTGTCCTCCTGCCCCCAGTTATACAGACTCAGAGTATTGGTGCCTGACTGAGCAGTCCCCTCAGCAGGGGTGGCTCCTAGGTAGATGTCTGTGCATAGACAGCAGCTCTCCTCCCATAGGCAATCAGAGATACAGAGCGAGCTGGGGTTTGACTCGTTTAGGAGACAGTGAGCTTCTAGCATGTTAAAGTCCTCTCTATGGCCCCATCTCTGTCGTATCCGAGCATGTCACAAACATTAATGGATTTTGCCTCCTAATGCCATTGTGAGAGGGTGCTGTGTCATTATCCCCATTTTACAGATGGGGAAACTGAGGCAATTAAAGCTAACATTTTCAAAAACATTATTTCAGAGGGCCTCTATTTTTGGACGTGAGCCCTCACAGGTTTAAATGTCTTGCCCAAGGTCACACTGGACATCTACAGCAGAGATAGGGCTATAATAGGTCTCTTAAATCCCAGTCTAGGACCTTAACCTTAAGTCCATCCGTCCTCTCTGCCGGTGCTCTTAATGCAAGACTTTCTCTGTCCTTTAAAGGCAGTAGAGAAATGGCAGGACCATTGCATGGGAGATACCCCCTATGCTTGTTCAGAAATGAAAAAGACACCATGGAAACCATTCCTACATGCCTGAGTCCATGGGTATGTCTATCATGCCATCAAAGGGCATGATTACCATTTGAGTAGACATACCCAAGCAAGCTAGGTAACTCAGGGGCCAGAGCAGTGAAGCCACTTCAGCATGGGCCGGACAAACCCATCCAGAACTCTGTGCTTTCAGTATAGACATACCCAATGTCTCTGTTGTGCAAGCAGTACCGACAGCCCGAGCGTGTCTGTTATCTGGGCATTTACCCAGCGCCCTGAGGCGTAATGCACCATGCCTTTGGGAAATTGATTAGGAGAGGCACAGAGAGGGATGCCATATTCCAGCTGGACAAAGCAATCCTAAAGAACCAGCAGGAGAAGGAAGGCGACACTCATGGGGGCATGGTTTATAAAGATCTGTTTATTTCATTCCTTTTTGTAAAAAAAAAATAATAATAATGTACACGTTGAGTTTAACATCCAGGACACCCATTACATCATACACCCATCAGCTCACGCTTGAGCTCTCTTTTTTTTTTTGCTCAAGGAAGGGGTTTTATTCCCTCTGCCCTCCTCCCCCTCAGAATCCCCCAATAAAGAGAGCTGCTTGGGAGACTGCTCCTGCAAAGTCACCTATGGGATTTTAGGAGCCAGGAGAGGTGTATGCCTTGGAGGTCAATGTTAGCAAACATGCTTTGTCTGGGCAGGGTGGCAAGTCTTTTAGACGGCTCCATGAGGGACCGTTAGCCTCACCGCGTATATGCTCATTTCAGGGCACGAGGGGGCCCAAGTCTGGGGGGAGATTAAAATGCTGATTAACCCTTTAGCTGCTTTTCCATGCTGCATGTTCTAACAAAACCTAACGCCACTCGTAGCTACACAATGTAGGATAAGGGTGATCAAGTATCATGCTTCAGGTTGGATGATGGTCGCCTGTGAAGGGCTGGGAGGAATTCTCTCTCTTGCTTTTCCCTACACAGTGTTGCACAGTCAGTCGCATGCATTTGAGGAGGAAGGAAGTTCCACTTTCCTCCAAAGCATCAGCTACAGGCAGGATTAGATAGCTCAGTGGTATGAGGAAATAGTGCCTCCTTCAGCACCTCTCTGCTATTTTTCACCAACTTGAGTGGAAGAGCCCACCCCCAACCCACTTGCAGAGAGCAATGAAGTTACTACAAGCCTTAAAACTGCTGTCTCTTGATCTCAGGAATTTGTCCACAGTGAGACGTGTTAGCAACTTGGTTACGGTATTTAAGGCAGGTAGCAAGAAGCAGGAGCTGGGTGCTGGGATGGTGTTTGGAGTGGGGATAGAAGAATGAAAAGCCCTCCCTGCAGGATAATTTTATTACAAAATAGCAGATGAATTAATATTTTTTTAAAAGTAACAAACAAAAACATATCCAGAAAATAAACCTTCCACCACAGTTTTCCAGGTCCCGATTTGGTGTGTGTTCATATTATACAGTAAACAATTGCTTCAAATCCACATACAAAAATCTGTACAGCATTCCCTACTATTTACCAAAATCCCTCTGCTGTGTTACATGCTCAGAAGCACAAACGACAATGAAAAGAGGACATTTACGCCCCAATATTTTGTTCTGAAGGAAGTTCAGGAAATCCAGCTAGTGGGTCCTGTGTCCCGAGGTGTTTAGAATATAGAAATAGCCCCCAGTGCTCTTCCCAAACTTTCTGATGGTCCACTCTTCTCAGTGCCCCATGACATGGCCATGTGTTGATCTGGGCTTATTACGTTTCTTTTGGGAACAATAATAGACATGCCAGTTGGCTGTGAGAGCCAAAGACCTTCTATAATGGTGCTCCACCTAGCAAGGAGGCACTATCCAAAAACCACTCTGGAGTATGCGGATTCCTCAAATGCTATCAAGCCCCATCCAAAGACCCAGCATGTCTCTCTTGGGGATCAGCTGAAGAGCAGAGCATTGTTTTGATGAAAAAATGGCTCTTGGACCAACATTTTTAAAATAGATATTTTCTATTTTCTTTCCCAAAAATAAAAGTAATAATAATATCCAGATATTTTTCAGTAAACTAGTTCAATTTTCAATCAAAAACATACAGTTTAAAAAACAATGGGGTTTGATTCAGTTCTGAGGGAACAATTTGATTTTCAAAAAACTAATTTTAAAATTTTTGTTTTAAACTAACCATTTTACCAAAAACCGTTTTTCAAAAACAAAATCTTTTTCGCCCCCAAAAGGCTCATCAGGAAATTTTGAAAACAATGACATTTCCCGCCAAACAAATCGAATGACCGGTTTTTACCCGCTCCAGTGAATAGGTAATGCCCATTAGTCCTCCACTGTCGGCATGACACTGCGTGGGTGTGAGAGATTTAACAGGGAGGAAGAGGCAGAGTTTGGTTCTTACTCAGCTCTAAAGCCATGAAGTCCAAGGCATAAAATATTTCACATTTTAACCTGCTTTTCATCACTTTTGCAGGAAAATTTTCCTTTGATTCTGTTGAAATTTAGCATTTAAAAACAAAAAACAAAAGCACACAGTACGCCATGCAAAGTCCAGTTTTAAGGCTGCTACAACAAAGCCCTTTGCAGGTAAAGACTTATCACTCCCTCATTGTGCTGTCATAATGCAGCTGATGTGGTACTTTATCAGAGGATCTCCCACCAGCCTTTCACACTGTGGGCTCCATACTCCCCCAAATCCACAGACAGAATGAGACTCTTCTCAACGTGTCCATGAGGGTTGCCCACACAGCTAGACGGTGGAATGTGGTCAACACGTAGCCCAACTGTGAGAGTCATGACTCTGATTTGCTAATGTTGCATTCTCCAGCTGCCCTATTCTATGGAACTGTTGTAACCATGCTGCTAATCACTAGGATCCTATGTTGTGGATATTTGGGATGTGTGCATATGGGGGGAGGAGTTTCATGAGCAACAGGGATGGTGGGAAAGGCCTTACAGGTTCAATATATCGTAATGCTATATCAGCTGAACCCAAGCCAACACTGGGTTGGGCTCAACAGGCTCCAACATGGCTAGTTTGGGTTCCCAGCCAATCCATCCACCCAGCCCTAACTTCCAGGAGCCAGGAGATGTGACTGGTTAAACATGTGTTGTTGTCTTACAATGAAATGCCTTCCAGTTTAGATAATCCCAAATGACAGAGACTCTGTGTGTGTGTGTGTGTGCGTGCGTGCATGCAGTACTGAAGGCCTGAACATTCTCAACAGCAAGACCTTTCTCAGTGCACAGAGAACTTCCCCACCCTGCAGTGATACAGTAGGATCCACACAGAGAACCTCTCTCTACAAATGGATGCCTGCTGGCACAACTGATGGAGTACAGATTCAGTGGGAGGCATCTCATTGATGGATTCATGGCACACCGAGCCCAGAAAACGGCATGCCTGGGATTGGCCGTGCTCTGGTGTGACATGGTGTTTGCTGGCATAGCATTGGTCAGAGCTCAGGATTAAATGCTTACTACGAAGCTTCGTTTAAAGCAAGTCATGAACTAAAAGGGAACGAGCCATGTACACAGAGAACCGTAGCATCAGAGTTGAAGACCAGAAATCCTAGATGATCTAATCTGATCTCTTGTATATCAGAGGCCACTAACCCTATAAACTGAGCACTGGAGAATTAGGACCACCACCTCATTGCCATGTTCCTGTGCACACCAGAATCTGTGCCAATGAAGCAGATGCTGCCCTAAACACACACACATATGCACTCACACCCTATATATATACACACACACATGCACACACACCCTACTATATATATATATATATATATATACACACACACACACTCACATATATATGCACACGTATACACCTATTTGACAAAGTACACGATAAAATAATGCATCCTTTACAGCAATAAACATATGGCACATATCAATTCCCCAGGGATCCTGGTATTATAACAAGGGCCTTTTATTAAAGAAATGCAGCCCCTGACGGCGGTGCATGGAGGAGCCTCCAAAATACCCTAGAAAGGGGCGGGTGCAATTCAGAGTTGCACCCTCAGGCTCCCTTCCTCGTTTATTTTGGCTCCAGTTATGATTATCCTTTCTGACTGCTTTTCAAGCCTGGCTTTGGAGGCCCTGACTGGGCATCTGCCATTTGTCAGGGTCAAAACAGGAAAGGCGGGGCAGGCAGGCAGGGAGCATGCTGGAGGACCACAGTCACCAGAGCTTCCCAGACCATTTGGCAAGGAACTCAGGTGAGCTGGCAAGTCTGAAGAGCAGAATCAAGTCAGAGCCGGTAAGCCCAGGGAATGCAGCTCAGCAAGCCAAGACATGAGCCGTGTCCCTGTTCACAGACCCAGGGCCAAGCTCTGCAGAGACTGCTCCGCTCCCAGCTCCGCCTGCACATCTGGAGGTCAGTGAAGTTTAATCCCAATGAATCATTGCAGTTGGGTAATTGATGTGGCCTAACATGTGCCCCCTGGACTGGAGAGATAAGCTGCTTAGAAAGCGCTGAATCAGGGACAGCCCAAACATTGAGACTTTGTGGGCAGCTTGCCAGGAATCCCAGGGGCACACCTACAGTAATGCATGTGTAAACCTAACTCAGTAACTAACGAGCATGCACAAGCCCTGACATCTGCCCTCCCTTGTATCTTCTTGGACAGACATACAGGACTGGCTATGTTCACCAGAAGTTTGATTGGCTTCCTTCAGGGCAGCGATGGGCCACATTTGACTTGTAGGCTGCAGGTGGGATAAAGTTTCCAGAATCTCCACAGCCCATGTGGTTTTGCCTATTGGTTGATTTTCTATCACACATCACTGTCTGTACATTATTTACATTTGTTCGCCAGGAAAAATCAAAGTACTGTTGAACATGCTAGGCTGATTACGTGTCCTGATTTGTTTCTTATCTTCTACATTGCTGCAGTTTCAATGGGCATAGCCTATTCTTACTCTGCCCATGTTTAACTTTTCATGTGCTTCCGGGGTCTCCCCTGCACGCTGCACATCGAGGTGTTCTGAGGAAGACAAGTGAAGGCTCCTTGGAGAGCGTGGGGCCATGAACCTGTGAGGTAGGTAACATGATCACAGTTTGCACAAGTTTATTTTCAAAGCTGCTTTTCTGAATGTGGTAAAATGCACAAATGGCAACAGGAAAAAGTGGTTTGTAATGACCAGTCTCTTGTGTTCGAGGCCTGCGGGGGGCCCCACTCAATGTATCCTTGGAAATCAAAGGCACAATGCATTCTGGGAAAACAGTGTGTCTTCTTTTTTTTTTCTTCATGGAGACTGGCCACTTCCCGCCTCTGAAAGCCAGCCTGGTTCTCACAACAGAGAGAGCAGAAGCCAAAACCATCCTCCAAGCAGAAATGCTAAGGGCTCGATGTTAGACATGCCTGGCAAAGAAATATAGGAATTCACAACCCAAAGCCACCTCTCTTGCAGGAAATATCAGGTGGTCTCAGTGGAGCATGAACAATGGCTTTGTTGTCTGCTTGGGATCTGTCCCAGCTGTGGCGGAACTTCTTGGGATAGGTTTTCCTGCCCTTGTTTCTTGCAACCACAGGGGTGAAGACTAAAGACCTGACTTTCCAAACAAGCCATGGACACTCACTGCTATTCTTGCATGGCTTGGATGTCCTGTGTGCTACACTGCTAGTGGCAACTTGGTTATGGAATAGCTCAGTCCAAGAAGGCTCCACAAAGAACTTGATAAAGCCCTCCCAACAGCTGGCTAGCCCAGCGGCCCATCCGCCCGACATATTTCTGCTCATTCCCAACCAGAGGCAGACCCCAAAAGGGAAGGAAAGGCTCCAAAGAGTTTGACAAAAGGGAAAATTGCTTCGGAGTGAAAAATAAATAGCAAATTCACTGGAAGGGAGAGTCCTGGAGTCCAAGGAACATCTCCTGGTCAGGAAGTGGGATCCTGGCCAGGATACAGATATAGTTTTAATCATCCTTTACCTAAGAGTACCTTGGTGACAGGACACAAGGAGGAAGCGTGCACAGAGCTCACACGCTGCCATTTGATCACAGCACGGTTTTGTTCCTATGTACAAGACGAGTCATCCGTCCAAGAGGAAGGTGTCCCAGCTGCTCCTGGAAGGGAGGCAAGGGCGGGGCAGGAGCTCTGCCACTAGTTCTGGTGTCTCTTCATGTGCAGAGCCAGGTGGTCGGAGCGGGAGAAGCAGCGCCCGCAGGCTAGGCACTTGAAGGGCTTGGCACCTGTGTGCTTGCGGTAGTGCCGGGTAAGCTCATCGGAGCGGGCAAAGCGCCAGTCGCAGCCTTCCCAGGTGCATTTGTATGGCTTCTCTCCTGCAGGGGGCAACAGACCAGAGGTTACAGTGTGCACCAGAGCAGCACACCAGTGTCCAATACTTACCTGTCTAGGCATCCATCTGTCAGTCTCCATCCATCCTCCTCTAGCTATCCATCCACCCATCCCTTCCCTTCTAGCTATCCATCCATCCATCCCTTCCCTTCTAGCTATCCATCCATCCCTTCTCTTCTAGCTGTCAATCCATCCATCCATCCCTTCTGTTCTATCTATCCATCCCTTCCCTTCTAGTTATCCATCCATCCATCCCTTCCTTTCTACCTGTCCATCCGTCCCTCCCTTCTGTTCTAGCTATCCATCCCTCCCTTCTCTTCTAGCTATCCATCCATCCCTCCTTTCTAGCTATTCATCCATCCCTCCCTTCTCTTCTAGCTATCCATCCCTCCCTCCCTTCCCTTCTAGCTATCCATCCATCCATCCCTTCCCTTCTAGCTATCCATCCATCCATCCCTTCCCTCACACACATACCCCACTATCTTTCTATCCACCATCCACCCATGCCTACGCATACCCCTCTCGCTATCCATCCCCATACACACTCCTCTATCTATCCATCCCTCCCCCCAAACACGTACCCCTCTATCTATCCAACCATCCACTCATCCCTTCACATACCCCTCTAGCTATCCATCTCCATAAACATTCCTCTATCTATCCATCCAACCCTCCCCCCAAACACATATCCTTCTATCCATCCATCCATCCATCCATCCCTTACCCACACACATACCCCACTCTCTATCTATCCACCAATCCCTACACATACTCCTGTATCTATCCATCCCTCCTCCTGTATCTATGCATCCATCCATACCTCCTCCCAAACACATATCCTTCTATCTATCCACCATCCACCCATCCCTACACATACCCATCTCGCTATCCATCCCCATACACACTCCTCTATGTATCCATCCTTCCCCCGCTATTCATCCATCCTGCCTCCCAAAAACTTATCCTTCTATCCATCCATCCATCTATCCATCCCCAGACGCACCCCTCTGTCCAACCATCCATCCCTGGACATATCTAGCTAGCTAATCATTGTGGTATGTAGGCATGTTCTCCTATGACATGTACAGTCACTCACTGGGTGATCCCTAACCCTTCTTGCTCAGCTGTACCTGAACGGTTACTCTCCATACCGTGAGCTTCCCCTCCGAGATGAGGGTATGCCTATGGCAACTGAGTCAGGCTCAGCCAGGTCAGGCTGCAGTGCTTTGTACAAAGTCCCTGGGCATTTTTGCTTTGAGTTTTGATGAAACATCAACATTTTCCATGGAAGATTCCAAAGATTTTTGTTTTCCAGTTAATTTTCCCCTAGAACTCTGTCCCCACCTCACACTCCAACCTGCTCTATATTGGCCCGTCACACTGACATTTTGATGTGCAGAAGAGCTCCTGCAGGACCTTTTCAGTGTGTTTTTGTGCCTTAGTGTCCCCACCTCCCTATTTATCCTGCAGATCAAATGGGGAAGTGTCTCAGTCAGCCAGGAGCTTGTGTGGAAAAGCCCATGCCAGCCTCACCCGGCTCTTCTCCAAATCTGGACAGACTGGCCACACCCTGCAGTGGCTGCAGCCCGGGAAGCTGAGCTGAACTCTGGACTGAGTGCCGCAGCCCACGCTTTGGCAGGGCGTGGTCCCCTCAAATATTAGTCCTCGCTCTTTAACAGTCTGAGCAAGCAGGCAGAGTTCATGGAATGTGCTGACTTTCCCGACCTCAAATATTTACCATTTCATCGGCCAATTATGGAGAACTTAACAACAGCTCAAGTGCACGTACACAGGCAACATGCATTTGCATGCCCCAGGATGGGTGCACATCATATGTGCCCACAGACACAGGCATGCATATTTGAGTATACACATATCTGTGCATGCACACAAACAAGAGCTCTCGCACACACATACGAAGTTATCACATGATGCATGCACACACAAACCCCTGCATGCTAACACAGAGACATGCAGCTCTGGGCACATACGACACATACTCATAAACATGTCTGTTTTCATGCACAGAAAGCTTCTGTATACAAGCATATGTGTACATTTGCATGCCCCCACATAAACATTCCCATGCACGCATGCACACACACAGAATGAGGCGTTAACCCAGCAGCAAACAGAATGTGAAGAAATGCAAAGCACCTTAGCTTTCTGCCAGGTGTGAGAAATATGTTTATGGCTCAGGTCAATAAGAATTTAAGCTCGATTTACAAGCAGCACTTGGGAAATGTTATGGCACTCTCAGGATCACATGGGTTTGTGGGCGTCTTTATTAGTTTTCTAAGCTGAAAGACAAAGGCGAGGTTTGCCCCGCTCAGACTCAGCCATTGTCCCAGGCAGGTCATCTGGCTGGGTCAGCCCCACCAAGGCCTTTTACTTTCAAACAATAACAGGTTGATCTCCAGGATGGAAACAAAATGCTTTCCATTGTCCCGCAAGCTGGCTCCTTCCCCCAGGACAGCACGGCAGGACAGGCTGGAACAATGGGCCCAATTGGCATTCCGATCCCCGGGAGGTGGGTGAGCGGCCAGTGGGTTATATATTTAATCGCACAATGGCGCCAGGGCAATGAATGGTGTCCCCTGGAGATTGATATGGCCTAGACCATAGCAACAGGCAAACCACAGGGGAAGGTATTTGTAATTGGGCCTGATAGACTTCCCAGGCTAGATCCAATTGGGTGTGTTATCCCAAATGGCTTTATTAACCCTTCAAGTGACAGAGCGACTTGTGGGATGCTACTTGTGGGATGCAACATGCGGGTTAATACTCTGGCCTTTCCACTCTAGATTTCTGGGTACTCATTAGGCTGAATATGGCGTCCTTGAGCTTGTGCCTGGGGAACACTTGCCTGCTACATAACCTCCCAATATAGTTGACTCATCAATGGCTTCCCCTCCACCATTCTGGATTTCCCTCTAGCTACTTCCACTAATACTTCTCTACCAGTTCAAGGCACATCCTCTTTTGTCCCTCTGCCCCATGAAGAGGGCATCTTGAGGCAGGTGGTGGAAGGAAGTGGTATCATGTCAAACTCAGGCCCAAGCAGGGCCAATAAAATGGCTCCAGAGAGAGGCTGGGGTTTGTCTCATTGGGTCACTGCACAATGGTTCAGACAACTTTTGAGGGCTACCCACCTCTCATGCGAAGGGCTAATGGGCAAGGGCAGGGACCTGGTTGGGATCAGGAGAAGAGCTCTTTATTTGTAAAGAGGGGATGGTTGTTACCATCTCCCCATCCTGAAGCTCCTTCCCTGGGAACTCAGTGCCCTTCCTTACTACTGTCTGCCCATGGTAGCTTGGATGCAGCTCTTGGCCTTCTTTCCTCCCATCTCCTCCTGAGGCATTCTACGGCATGCGCCTCTACGGCGCACGGCTGAGAAAATACTGCACCTCATGCCTTGTTCAGGGGCCTGATAAGATGAAATAGGAGCGGAGCCAGGTGGGAGAAATGATTCCCAGGCTTGGGACTTGCTTTGTGATTTGTTCGTTGCTCATAAAAAAAGAAAAGTGACCCCAGGGACAGCTTAATTGCACCCAGTAAAGATCAACACTTCTATAAAAGAGATTTATGAGGGGAGCTCTGGCTCTGGGACTGGCCAAGAATCTGATAAGGGCTCAGGCTGTCCTCGGAGGAGCCCTCCGCCTGCCTGAGCTGAGAGGGGCCGGGGGCTGGTTTTATGCAGGGAACGCTGGGGCACTGCTGAATATGTTTTGTTTTAATTAATTGTTCAGGGCCCAGAGTATCGAACCCTAGGACTCTCCCCTGGCTCAAAGGGGAAACAATTCACAAAGGGGATGGCCCTTCCCCTTCTGTTTTCTCCTCATACACTGTGTATATGCGCCCAATTACCTCAGGCTGCAATCCCATTGGCTAAGCAGTGCAAGGCCTGGTTAGTACTTAGATGGGAGACCTCCAGGGTAAATGCAGAGGGCACAGAATGCAATGGGTGGGACTCCTCCCCAAGTCTGTATTGAACCAATACCCCAGCCGGGTGCAAGAGGTATCTAAAGGTAACTCAGGGCATGTCTACACAGTGGGGTAATGTGCGGATGCGATTTCTAAAGCACACTAACGTGTCACGCATTAATTAGTCCTGCTGGTGTGCACTAAAATCCCCCTAGTGTGCTTTAAAGTAGTGCTATTTGAAACATTAGGGAACTTTTAGTGCACACCAGCAGCATCTACACAGACCAATTATTGTGCAACATGTTAGTGTACTTTAGAAATCAGACCCTTGGAGTTCACACATGTAGACAAGCCCATAGTTAGATCCTCTGCAGTAGTTAATAGGCATCACACACACATGGATAGGCAAGCATGCACTGTAGTGTACAGCTACCGATTTTCTGTTGCAACTGGTATGTCTTTTGTTCTCCCAAACACAGCTAGATCTCTCTGATTGGTTCCTCCACAAACACCACTAGATCTGTTTATCTAACTGTATTCACTGTGTTAGCGATCAGATTGCACTTGGAGTAATACCATTGAAATCAACAGCTACCACCCTAATGATGGGTATGGTATAAAAATACCATGGCTAGAGAGAGCCTAAGTATTATGCCAGACTCAGGTGTACACTTACCTGTGTGAGTTCTCTGATGTGCCTTCAGGTGGGAACTCTTGGTGTAAACTTTCGTGCAACCTGTAAAAACAAAACAGAAACAGGGTGAAAAATGTTTAATTCTAATAAAGATTTAAAATACACGCACCAAGGTTCTGAGTTGTGAGAAGGAAAGAGGATTGAAAAGAACTGTGTGTAACAGTTTGTAAATTAGTACCTGTGTAAGGCTTGTTTCTATAGCAGCTAAACAAGGACATTTGTTCAGATTGAAGACTGCGTATGTCAGTGGGGAAGGACAAGTTTCTTTCACCCACAAGTTGAGAGCTTTTTGCAGCAAGGAGTGCACAACAATGGCAAATCAGGCATGCAAAGGAGCATCCAAACTTTCTAACAGGACCCCCATGTGATATTCCTTAGTATGATCAATCCTAACACTTACGCGTCTTAACTGGGGATGGAAGAATCAGTTTGAATAAGACCAAATCTATCAGACCCAAGATTTCATCCCAAGCTCAATCTGAACCTTGTACGTCGGTAGCATAAAAATGTTAACTTCTGCATTATTATTTGACAGTTTTGCATTGCCTCTGACTTTCTGGATTCTAGAATCACTGCCAAAATACTGCAAGAAAGGCTCTTTTTGGTGGTATTCCCAGCTCCAGCAGAAGATGATGATATATGAGAAAGTACAAAGCACTGGCAATTTTGTGAAGCGCTGGCCCAGTTTTCAATATTCAAGAGCAGAGCAGACTGAAAAAATTTCAAAGGAACAGTTTTCAGTCAGAAAATGCAGGTTCATCTAAATCAACACATTTCGGATAAATGTGTCAATTTCAATGATATTTTTGAGGAAAAGTGCCAAAATTTATCATTTCGACTCTCTCGTTTCTTTTATATAATTGCTAAATGTTTCCCTTCGATGAAATAAAAAAGTTTCATTTTGATTTATTGTTTTATTTTGTTTCATTTCAACTTTTATAATATAAGATTAATTTTAGTATTGCATTATATTTATATATTGTATAATTAATATATTATACTGTTTTGACGTTATCAAAACAAAATATCTTTACCTTATTTCAACATAATTGAAACAAAATATATTGATGTTTCTGTATCAAAAACCTTTTGGAATTTCGATTGCATGAAAAATTTTGAAATTCAACTTTTCCAAATCAGAAGAAAAACAAATGTTGAAATGTCAGAATCTCCCATGGATGGAAATTCTGCTTTCCAATCAGCTCTATTCACAACATGCAGATAGTTCAGCTAAACATCAGATTCATCCAGATGTTTAGTGCTCATCGGAACTGAAGCCATACTCCAAATTCTTTGAGTTTGGCACCTCACCAGCTTCCCCAGCTTTTATGCTCTCTCTGGAGTTCAGACCTCAGCTTCCCTAAAATTTAAGGGCTATTTTTTCCTCTGCCAGGAATCTGTTTTATCAAGATCAGATTGATTCTTCTTTGTTTGAAGTTTGCTATACATAAACCAAGGTGACTGAGAGATTGCTGTATTGCATCTACCAGCCTCATACTCAGATGCCCCAAGGAAATGCAGCTGACTAGTGGAGTCCCCCACCTCATAGCTGGAACTTGTAGTGACAGTTTACATGAGCCACCTTTGCAGCTAAGGTTCAAACCAGGTCTCCTTTGATCTCTATCAGATAGAGATGGGACCAGATCTAAACACACTTAAACTTTGAGGGAAACTGGAATTATAACTGAATTTTACTAATGGCCCCTCTATGGTGGGCTAAACCAAAACCTTGGATCTGAACATCCCCTAACTTTGGAGTGTCCTAAACAAGACCACTCATAAACTCTTGGTTGTTTCTGAACCACAACTATTGTAACTCTATATATTCCTTTTTGAACCTTGCTAACATCTTGGCCTGAGTGATATCTTGTGGCAATGAGTTCCACAAGCTATTTGGTATTGTGTTAATACAAGCATTTCCTTCTATCAGTTTTCAATGCTTTGCCTGTCAGTTTCCTTGAATGCCCCCATGTTCTTGGATTATTCATAGATTCCAAGGACAGAAGGGACAATTGTGATCATGTAGTCTGACCGGCTGTATAACACAGGCCAGAGAACTTTCCCAAAACAATTCCTAGAGCAGATCTTTTAGAAAAAGATCCAATCCTGATTTTAAAATGGGCAGTGGTGAGACTGTTTCAACGATGAGTTGCTTCACTGGTTAATTACTCTCGCTATTAAAATTTGACAATTTATTTCCAGTCTGAATTTGTCTGGCCAGACCTTTCTCTGCTGGATTGAAGAGTCCATTATTAAATATTTGTTCCCCAACAGATACTTACAGACTGTAATCAGGTCACCCCTTAACCTTCGCTTCGTTAAGCTAAATAGATAGAGCTCCTTGAGTCTATCACGAAGGCATGTTGTCTAATCCTTTAATTCTTCTCGTAACTCTTCTCTGAAACTTCTCCAATTTACAAACACATTTATTAAGACAAAGAGTAAATAGCAGGGCTTGATCTACCTCCTCTGGATAATCCGTTATTCTTTATATCTTTATCATGTCCCCTCTTCTTCAACATACAATCTACCACATGAGAAATAATAGCACATATGCAGGCTTAATAGCCAGCTGCATCAAAAGGAGAATTTTGGCTCCAAAGTCTGAAACCGCTTCTTTGATGGCCATTGCAGAGATAAGCTGTATGTCATGTGATCTGGAGCCAATATAGTATTAGTGGTGTTATGCCTCTCACAGATACTACAGTGCGCCTTCCATATAGTATGCACATAGATATCACTGCATAGCCCACCACTACAATGCATCCACCTCTGAGGTGGAGGGTGTCAATCAGCTACCTAGAACAACTTTGGGAGGAGGGGACATTTTGGACAAATGTATGGCAAATTTCAGACAGGCTAGATCTACGCCCATCAGGAAAGGATTCCGACACCAAACCAACACAGCAGCCATGGCTATACCTGGGTAATCACAGTGATGGATCCTCCTTTTCTCCAGCTCTGGGTTATTGCGTCTGTTGTATTTGGGGGTTGGCATGATAATGTGCCCTTGGGAGAGGGTCCCGAGACCGTTTGGGAGTGTGGGGATCTGGGACGACTGTATCAGCTTCAATCCAAATGTGGCTTCGTAGGAGGGTGGGGGCGAGATGGTGTTAATGAGCTCGGGTTGATTCTCAGGGCTGCCAGGCTGTGAGTTTGGAGGTGAAGGGGGCAGGCTCAGTCCTGGGACAGGGTAGAAATGCCCCGTGATGTTGAAGTTCCCCTGACCTTGGGAGACATTTTGGAAGTGCTTCACTTGTCCGCCAGGCTGGATGGGTCTGGGGAGCATGGCGCTGCCCGTGGACATGGTGACGCCGCTGATGGTGTTGATGGCTGTGGTGCTGCCAGTAGAGGGCACCATTGTGGCAACATCAGCATCACCATTTCCAATGGGCATCTGGTAAAGCTGGGCCTGCTGCGGGCTGCCAGACAAAGGGATCTCCGAGGGCATCTCCTGCTTGATGAAGATATTGTTCACCGCCACCGACTGCGGCATGCTAAAGACACTGGTGAAATCCGGCAGCGTCTGCGTCGAGCCTGCCGTGGATGAGCAGGGCTGGGTGAAGCTGGTGCCAGGCTCTGTTTTGATCTGTGGGAATGGGGTGAGGGGTTTGGCTGGCCGGTAGAGCCCGGTTCGCAGGTGTGTGGTGTCAGGCAGTATCACATTGATGTTCACACTGTATGGCGTGGAGGAGGGCTTCTCTGTTGAGAAGAACTCGTCTACCACAGAGGCGCTCTCCCTACGGTATTTCTTGTCTGGCACCATTGGAATTGGCATCAGCTGACTGGAGAGGTATTTGTCCATTTCAGAACGTGCCTATGAGGAGAACAAAAGAAAGAGTTCTTGAATAAAGTGTTCAGACGCTACAGTGATGTGTGTGGCTAAGATAGGTGGGTGGCTACAGGGCAGGAAAGGATAATGGATTGGGATGCAGAAACACAGCTCAGCCACTGACACCCTGTGTGACCTTAGGCAAAGCACTTACTCAAGTCTGTGCCTCCGTTCCCCGCGCTGTGAAATGGGCATAATCCTACCCTAGCTGTTGTGAGGATAAGATGGGTGTTAGGTGCTTGGATACTGCAGTAATGAGCTATGCATAAGTAGTTAGGGAGCGAACACAACAACAGCGAAAGGGATGCAGTCAAATAAAGAAGGGCCAGGATTTAGCCAAAGGAATACCATGCCATGGCAGGTAAATAGTATAATGGCTAACAAGGGTCAGGCTGGAGACTCTTGCCTACATGCTCGGGGTTTTACTGATCGCCATATTTGGGGTCGGGAAGGAATTTTCCTCCAGGGTAGATTGGCAGAGGCCCTGGAGGTTTTTTGCCTTCCTCCGCAGCATGGGGCAGGGATCGCTAGCAGGAGGGTTCTCTGCCAATTGAAGTCTCTAAGCCACAGGATTTGGGGACTTCAACAGCAGAGTCAAGGGAAAGGGTAGGGACGGCTTTGTGGCCTGCAGCATGCAGGGGGTCAGACCAGATGATCATAATGGTCCCTTCTGACCTTAAAATCTATGAGTCTATGAGTCTATAAGAGGGGGAGAACTTAAAATTAGAGCTGATGAGCCTAAGTCCGAGCACCAGATCCAAGTGCCCTCAAACCTTGGGGGAGTTAGGATCTGAACTTTGAGGTTTGGGCCCAACTCTCCTTCAAACTGTATGAAACCTAATGAGAACTCAGTTGGTTCATTGTTCCTTCATAATGCTTTGAAAATAAGAGGATGAGGTTGGTTTTAACTGTTGCCTACAGTCCTGGGAACACGTCCGCCTCATACTAGCACATGAGATCCTAGATCTGAAACTGCCTAGAACAAAAGAGAAACTGGTCTATTTTCTCTCTCCCCATGAGACTTTCACATCTGTAATACAACAGAGCAGAGTTTTAGTCCTATGACTTTCTATGTATGTTTACGAATATCATCAAACTCCAGATTCCTTCATGATTCCTATCTGACAGAGCATCTTCTGGACATGTTCCCATTGATTCGACAGTCTAAGGGCAGCAGCGTACTAGGAAATTCAACCCCTAGCATCTGACGACTCAAGCTCTGGTCTTTGTGGTTAACGATACTACCACTAATACTCCTTAATGGAGCTGCAGCCTTTAATTATGTGGTTACCCATGTGTCATTCTCATTACATAGACCTCATATACTCACTCATATGTAATAGAGCTGGCGAAACAGTCCAGTTTCTCTGGGCCCTGCAGATATGGGCCTGCAGAGCCTACTGAATACTGCAAGAAACCACGCTCATCTCATCACCACCCACTGTGCATTCTGCCAGAAGGCTTTGCAGCAATGAACAGCATCGCTATGCGCCAAAGTCTCCCCTAGTGCAACCTGACTGCCGTCAATGGAGACTAATTTGGCCCAAGGTGTTTTATCCATCCTGCACATTATATGGCACAAGATATGCCTATATCTCCTTCAAAAGATTCCCAGACTTTGCCCAATTGACAGCCATACTGGCAATGCGCCAGGAAGCTAGAACCAAGCCTAATTTGTATTTAATGGAGCAAGAATTGCAGCCGCCCTTCTCTTTAAAATGGAGGCAGCTCCCTGACACTACATGTCCCAGCGTGCAGTGCTCCATCTTGATCAGAGCAGTTGGGCAGGGACCTGAAATCTCCAACAGGCAGCTGCTGCAGAACTGTACAGGCTGCACTGGGACCTTAGGCTGCCATTGGCTGCACCTAGACTAGCAAGAAGTGTTCTACCCACCTATCTGGTGTTATCAGCACATCATCCCTGTCAAGCCAGATGTGCTGGAACGCTCCCAGCTGTCATTAGAGGGGACATTGTCAAAGCAAGGGGTTGAGGGGTAGTTTGTTGCCCCCAACAAGTTCAGCTCATGTTAAATGCCTGAGCTATTCCCCTAGGTGCTATGGGCTCAAACACTCTCCTTTGATCTGGGACCACCCTGTGTTACAGTTACAGACAATATGGACCAGAGCCACAAAGTGCAAATCTAGAATTGGATCAAACTCTGAACTGTTCTGATGTTTCAGAGGTGTTCGCACTCAGGCATCGGGGCTGGGCTCATTCTAAAGACATGCCCGAGCTGCAGTTTGGATCTGAATCCCAATTTCCACAGTGTTTGTATCCATGATTCCTATTTGGACTCATCCCTGGGTGAAGATTGCACAGAGCCCTTGGAGTGCTGCCTGCTCTCACCTGGTTTCCTCTGCATTATGTGCCACTCCAGCCTGTTACTTTTAGAGTCAGGAATCAAATCACTGCTAGGCAGTACCAGGGGCTCTCCCTCCGCCTCTGAATGCCACACATACCTGAGCAATGAAATGACCCACTCGCCTGGGAGTTGGAGGAGGGAAGTGTGGGTGTCAGACATATTTTACTTCTAAGTTTCCCTTATCTCTGGTATTTTGATTTCTTGCCTTCACTTTACAGGAAAGGAGTTTTTCTAAGAGGTTTCCATAAGGATGCCCAGATCCTCCAAGGTATTTAGGTACCTAATGCACTTAAATCAATGGGAGTTAGGCACCTAAATAGCTTTGAGGATCTGGGACACTGCGTCTTTGTGCATGAATTCCATGCTGCTCTATTTAATCCTGTGCATTCTCAAACAGGGACTCCCTAACCCCCACCTCGCCTCTGCAACCTTCACCGAACCACCAATAACACTATATTGCACCTTCTGCCCCCAAAGGAGATGCAGCCAACCGAATCTACCTCTCACACTACTGAAATGCAGCCAGCTCAGGAGTGGGATGTGGCAGCTGATTAGCAGTGCGCCACAAGCCCATTGTGTGGGACAGAAAGTGAAGAATACTGTACCCAGGCTCAGCTGGAGCACCATCTATAGCCAGCAGAAGGGGAGGACCTGAGCCCAGATACGGGCAGAATCCCGGGGCTAGCCCCTGCTCCTGTAAAGTGCAGTGGAACCTGGAGTAGTTGCCAGGACACCCTTTGTGTGTCATCTGAAAGGCAATCCCCCTTGCATCAAAGTGCCCCCCAACGCCATACTTGGACACTGGCTCTATCCTGGCTCCCAGGGAAGAGTGTTTTTACTGTTGTATGACTAGGCCTGCGTTGTGCCAGGCACTTTACAAGAACATCATAACAGACACTCCCCTCCCCAGCGTGTCTCAAAGGCGGCCACCGTGGCCGCATGCAGCATCCAGGGGCTTTTCTTGCGGCTAGAGCCTCCTGGGCTGTGATTGGGGATGAGGGGGACAAAGTAGCAGCCCTTCCCCAGTGCTCCTGGCTGCACTGCCCTGGTGTTGGTTGCTGGGGCTGCCAGCAGGGGTTGGGCCCTGCCCCCCTCTGGAGACACCTGGGGCACAGCGCTGGAGGAACAAACAGCTGGTGCGTTCCCCACCTTCCCAGGGGCGGTGGGGCTCAGGCTTTGGGCTTCAGCCCCAGTCTCCTGCAGCATGCTTCAGGCGTCGTCCCTGGGTCCCATCTTCTGGACACAGGGCTTCGGGCTCTGGCTGTGGGGCTTCAGGCTCCAGCTCCCCACCCACTCCCATCACCCCGGCCCCTGCTGCCTGCCCCAACCCTCCATCCAGGGCTTAATTTGTCCAGGGCTGAGTAAGTCTGCTGTGAAAAGTGATACTTATATGTTGGTTAATATCACTTTTCACAACAGACTCGCTAGATAGCAATAAGTAAATTACAGTGATTTGGATGTGTGTATGTGCCTATTTATTTGGTTTTCCTACAGCTAAATAAGTATTTTAGGGAAAAGTTTGAGATGAGATGGTGGCTGCACTTTGAAGCCACCAAAAAAATTGTCCGGAGAACTCCTAACAGACAATACAGAGGGAGGGAGAAGGAAGTAGGTGGAACCCATTTTACAGCTGGAGCATAGAGGTGCGAGAGATTCAGGGACTTGCCTGTGGTCACATGGGGAGCATGGTAGAGCCAGGAACTGAACCAGATCTCCTAAGCCCCAAGCCAGAGCTTTCATCACGAGACTTCCCTTCCAATCAGCGGTACAACTCATCTACAGCGTGTACTGCATCAAGTGTGGTGGGGAGAGGGACCGGGAGCAGGGAATTCAGCATGCTCTATTTACAGTCTCTTGGCCCTTCATTTGGTTCTTAGTGAACCCTGGGGATGGATCTGCTAAGGAGAAACCAGCTGCATTTCACAAAGGCGCCCACTACCCCGAGTTAGCTTTATGGGGGGCAGAAATACGCATGTATAGAATAATAAAAACCTTCACCTCCATAGTAAGTGGCATTCGCTGCTCCATCCTCAGTGGGGTAAGCTGTGGAATAAACACAGCCCGTTACTGGGCAGTCATGATGCAGTTCAGAGTAAACACGAGACTCAGCATCCTATGGAACTTTATCCCCAGACGGGGGCCACTTATCACACTGTACCAAACCCAGTGGCCCTGCTGAGCAGCCATGCGGCCATGGAAGCTCAGGGTATGAATGACTCGGACGTGCCAGGGGCTGGCTGTTGGAGAGAAAAACTCTGCACTAGGGCCCTGCAGAGCTCTGTGTGCTTTGCTAGCTGGGTGCAGGGAACAGGATGAGGCTTTCTTAATGCTAGCTGCCATTTTGCATGTGCACCGGGGGCCTGTCCCTCCATGCCTGGTTGTGCCTCAGCAGCCTCTCCCGATGTCGTTGGTACCACTGGCCAATCAGAAGCCCCAAACACACACACACAAGAGCCAGTGAGCTAGAGAGCCGCTGCCCCTGCTTAATAACCCCACTGGCTGCTGCCTGTGGCTCCATCTGGTCCCAGCTGCTGTCAGCAGGTTCCCCCCAGTCAATCCCCACCAGCAGCCAAGACCCCAGCTTCTGCCTTCATCTCCCAGAGGATGGGGGTCTTGAACCCAACTGACCCCAAGACTAGTTTAATTAGGGAAAAAAGTCTCCTTTGTAATTTGCATGATCTGTTTTTTAATGCCTGTTGCTTTGAAACTACACTCCAAACTGCTCGAATGCATTTGGAATCAATTTACATTTGTTTTCCCTAATGCTTCTGGCAAGGCTGCAAATCTTTGCAAATATGCACACACACAAAATGGAAATTGTTCTAGAATAGGGTGGGTTTGTTTGCAAGAAATTGTGAATTTGTGTGGGGGAAATTCTGTAACAAAATTCTACCTTGTGACAATATCACAAATGTCCCTACATTTATTCCTGTGGCAAAATTACCTAAGGAACATATTTACCTTGTGCAGGATCCAGTGAAAAATTCAAAATAAAACAATCAAGTCATGAGGGAGGTTTCAGAGTTTTAAACCATAGTCAGGAATCCTCTAGATCAATGGTCCTTTCCCATACCACCACCTCTTTTTCCATACCAGCACTCCCAAATCCCCTGCCTGTGCAGCCAGGATATAACTGGGATCCCCCTCCCCATTTAGTAACATTGGGAATGCAGTGATCATGACCCCCAGGTTGAGAGCCCCTGCCCTAGACTTTTGAGGAATAAGTTAGTACTCTGTGTTCAGAGCTGTGGCCTGGTGCTCTAAGCACAGAACTGCGAGCCAGGGAGATACATTCAAATCCCAGAGCTAACACCAGATAGATCCTGGGCTCAGAATGGAACACCAGCTCCTTTGAGCCATGAGTTTTTATGACTGAGCCTCTGGACAAGTCACTCAGCATCCCTCCTGCCTCAGTTTCTCTACATGTCAAATGGGGGTGATAATATTTACCTCCCTTCCGGGCAGATGAGGGTTATGAGGATAAGCTGATGTTTAAAAATCATTATGTAAGTGGTTACTATTGCTGTTCGCCCCGCCCTATGATATGAGGGCATCAATGCTGCGCATTTCTAAGCCCAGCAGTAAATCCCATTTCTTCCTTATAGAATGTGGGCAACCCATTATCCTTAGGTTTGGAGAGTGGGGTTGGGGGCAGGGTATGGAATTACGCTGCTTTGCCCCGATCTGCCACCTTCAGAGCTTTTCTTGCTTTTCTTGTGGACAATGCACATCCAGGGGATAAACCAACCAGTCGGATGAGTTGGGAGCTGGTTCTCGGCCTGCTCAGCAGGCCTTGGCTCTCACTTCTCTTAAGAGGCCTAATCCTCCCTGAGGGACAAAGAGGGATTTTGTGGGGCTGCTGGGTGGGTCTGCTGCCCGGGGCGGACATTCTTCAGGTCGATGGGGAAAGCTGCTATGCCAAACCCCACGGAGCTTGGTGACCCCGGCTTCCCAGACAGAAACGGATCACTTTCTATTTGGGAATAAACAGGCTGGGAACACAGAGGTTATGAAAGGAACAAGACTTGTGGGGAGGGAGCAAAGACAAGAATAGCGGTATGAGGCTCATAGAAGCCATTCCCCAATCCTCATAACCCCTGTGAGGTCAGGCTGTAACATTGTCTGTCTGTGAGATGGGAGCAAACAAGAGACAAGTGACTTGCCCATGGCCACCCAGCAAATAAGTGTTAGATCAGGGACTCGTGCTCTCCAGCTGTCAGCCCCATTAGGCAATGCTGCCTGTGAAGACAGGAGTCCTTCAAGCCCTCAGCTACATTAGCCAGCCCTGCCCTTTCAAGGGGGCAATCTGAACAGATGAATGCAGCAAATTCAAGCTTTTGTTAGCACTCTGGAAAAAGCAAAGCATGGCTTAGCCAGAATGGCTGACCGAATCCAGGGCTGGCAGGGTGGTAGGCAAGTGCAGTTAAAAGTCTTACGTCCGGTCCATAATGTGCAGAATTGCCACAGCTCCACCAAAGCACTAATGGAAAGGGACAGCAGCCAGGCATCCAACCTGCTTGTAACCAGACCCTGTGAGGAGGCTTGAAGTACTTTGAAACTTGCAAGGGTCTCCAGGAGGAAGATGAGTGCCCCCCAGTAAGCTTGGCCTGCATCAAAGCTGTTTGTTGTTTTTCTGATAGGTTTCCCTGGAACGCTTTTGTTCTGAATAAACAGTACTTTGCTTTATGCAGGCTGGCTGGCCACTGGTTAACCCTGTCATTGCCCCTGAGACAACAGGACTAATGTCAGACCTACAGTGAATTGCAGGAGGAACCGCACCCAAAATCCAGAGGTAGAGAGTTGTGTGACTCTGCTCCAAGAACAGTGCCAACTCGAGGCCTGTGACCTAATTGGGGGGCCCTCCAGGAGGGGATCAGAGATGCGGTTACCTCAGAACTGTGCCACCAATGTAAGGCCCTAAGATACAAACACATCCCTGGGCTCATAGGCACCGACTTCTGCTGGCGCCAGTGGGTGCTCAACCCCCTCTGCTGCCGGCCCCGCCCCTCCCGCCTCTGCCCCAAAGTCCCCGCCCCAACTCCGCCCCCTCTTGACCCTATTCCAACCCCTCTCCAAATCCCCACCCCAGCCCCGCCTCTTCCCCACCTCCTCCCCTGAGCGTTCCTGCTCCTCCCCCTCCCTCCTGGAACTTGTTACACCGCGAAACAGCTGCTTTGCGGTGGCAAGCACTGGGAGGTAGGTGGAGAAGCGGGGACGCAGCGCGCTCAGGGGAGGAGGCGGAGATGGAGGTGAGGTGGGGTGGGGAGGGGAGCTTGGCTACCGGTGGGTGCAGAGCACCCACTAATTTTTCCCCGTGGGTGCTCCAGCCCCGGAACACCCACGGAGTCGGCGCCTATGCCTGGGCTTCCAAACAAATCAGCCCTACAGAGGAAGAGGTGCCCTGTGATAGATTTTCTTCTAGCCCATCCATGCCATTTCCTGTGACTCCTCAGACTAATTAGCACTAGCTGGAGGGAGCTATGGGTCAGAGGAAGCAGGTATATCGACTGACCTCGTTAAGTGACAAACACAGCAGGTAAGGGTGTCAAATAGCCTAAAAGCACAAAACATCCCCATTGCGAAAATGAAAACGCAAATCTCATGAGATGCATGCAACACAAATCCCACGATGAGTGTACATCACACATTCATCACAGGCATGCAACATGGATCCCATGATGAGCATGCATCACCAACCCATCAGAGGCATGCAACACGAATCCCACCACATGCATCCAGCAGAAATCCATAGTTTGATTTCTGCTTCCTCTTCCTGAGCTATTCAGCCAAGGGATAGGAAGGCAAACATAAAATTGTCTCTGCTGCTGGGTCAGTGAGTGACATGGATAATGGCTTCCATTAAAGACAAAGGGAAGACGCAGCATGAGCCTTTCCTAGTGTAACTGTCCATCCGAACCCATCACCCTATGACCTATCGATCGGAACAGCACAACGGAGTCGTTTGAAAACCTCTTCCATTCATTTCCTTATGCTTGGTGCTCCATTGCTTGGGAATTAGAAGCACAGCACAAGCCAGTGACATTGGGCCCAATCCGTCAGTGGTCCTGATCTCAGCACCTCCTAGGATCAAGGGCTCAGGGACTACTGATGATGTTTTGGCTTGAATGTTTTCTGGCCAGAACTGGAAGATGTTTGAGATAATGCGCGCGCACACACACGCACACACACACACACACACACACACACACACACACCAACCCATTCCATCAGCCAGGCCAGGATGCTCAGGCTCAACAAGTTGCATAAACACTGTCACTCTTCACTCCTGCACATTCACAGGCAATGAATTCCCACAAACCTGAAAATGAGAGATAACCGGGTCTGTACTGGTAAGAGAGGCAGGGCAGGGGTGGGTAGTGCAAGGACAAAGAACCCTCTCACTCCCGCTCCTCTTGCAATAAGGAGGCAGAAGATCCAGACTGGATTTTGAGACCTCCTGGAAACAATTCCTTTCTGCGATGCTGGATATGAAGTCAACCAGTTGACGTCCTCTATCCCCTCCTTTGGAGAACAGGTTGCCTCTTCTGGGCTAGTCCCATAAGAAGGAGGCATCTTTTTTCTCACCCTATGATTCTTTCTTTCTTTCTTTCTTTCTTTCTTTCTTTCTTTCTTTCTTTCCAACAAGAACCCCTCCCACCCCCAAAATGCACTATACATTTCAGGAATCTTCTCTCCTCCAGCAAAATCTCTGAGCCCCGTTCTGCTCCAATTCTAGAGTAACTGAGCCCGGTGGAATAAGCGAGAGCTGAATTAGGCTCTCTGTTCCCATGGCACTGGAATGGTGAGATTAGAGTCCTGGTCACAGCAGCATACTGTAAGGAATGGGATCTTTCGGCCTGTGACTTAACTGTTATTGTTCTCTTGGGTACGCCCATACTGCAGGGGGGAGCCAGCCTCCCAGCCCAGACAGACAGACTCGTGCTAGCAGGGCTTGACCTAGCACGTTAAAAATAGCTGTGTAGATGTTGTAGTTGAGATCAGGGGGCTACCCAGAGTGTGCACCGGTGCCACAACATCCACAC